GCAGGAATTTGAGTGAGCATCTCTCTATTTTTTTTTTTTTAAAAACTTTCAACACACCATTTCCACTGTTAAATAAGGTGGGATTGATAGTGGGGAAAGATATTTAATATACAGTGCCTCTCTTATAGTGAGATGTTTCCAGCAATGTGATTCATATAGAATTTTAGTCTTTTTGACCAGAATATTTCTTAAGGATTTTTATAAATTATGGGTTGATGAATGTTTTTTTTATAGAACTTTGATCAGATAAGTGACATGTGAGGCATCTACTCAAGGAGGTAATAGTATGTCCAATATAGGTAATTGATTTGACAAGAAACAAGGCAGTGAAATTGATACACTATATTGGTAATCACTAGTTTAGATTTGATGGGATTATTTTAATTAGTGACAAGTTTTACGGTTTTCCATTTTCTGCAATATATATTAAGTTTGACATGTTTTTCAGGAATTACAATAGAAATATGGGGTTTAATAATTCTTCACATAGTGAATTCATCCTGCTTATAATTATTGTGAATCTGGTTGCCATAAAATATGTTGATGTTTTGTTGTGTGGCATATTTATTAATGACATCGTGCATTTTTTTTTAAGAATAATTTTATTTATTGTTGATATAGTTGAGAAAATATATATATATATATATATATATATATATATATATATATATATATATAGAGAGAGAGAGAGAGAGAGGGGAATATAGGAGGTGTGTGGGGTAGCAACTTGGTCTGAGGGTTTGGAGAGCAAAGTTTTAATTTCAGTCGAATCCTTGGGAAAGGTATGAATCCTCTTCTCCCTCCTGCTATGGGTAAAATAACAGGACAGACTGGGTTCTATAGCCTTGGATAACAACTGGTCTAATAGAAGGACAACTCTGAATTCAAAACCATTGGAAGGTTGTTTGGGGACCTTGTGGCATATAGTAACACCAGGTCTCTGTATTCAGTCCTTCAAAAAGTGTGGTTGGTTCACCACTATAATCAAATCATATGTGCTGATGTCTGGGCTGTTGGTTCCTAGGAACTGAGTTGCTTGACCCTCATACATCAAATACAATGGGAGAGTCCACTATATATATATATATATATATATATCCTTGTGAAATGAGAATGAATAGAATCTAATTCAAACACTTGTAACATTCAATTTAAAAGAGGGCTCAGTACAAAAGTAGAGCAATATTCTTTATTTTAGGATATTACATCAAAAACATGTAAAAAAAACTCTCTCTCTCTCTCTATATATATATATATATATATATATATATATATATATATATCTTATTATAAAACACAGATTGTGTGTGTGTCTGTCTGTACATTTATATATTGGATCGGATTTCACCATTTTCCAAACCAATTTTCAACAAAACTTCACAGGACTGTGTAAAATTATTTTGCGGTGGTTCTGACAGTGCCAAAATTGAAAAAACATAAATTGTTTTTGCATGAAATCAATTTGAAAACATCGATGAAACACGCATTCTGTCGCCAGAATGAAAGGGGAAACAACTCATATCAAGTTATACTTATTATAAAAACCCACGTTGTTTGTGTGTGTGTCTTCATTTATATGTGGGATCGAATTTCCTACATTTTTCAAACCAATTTCAACAAAAACTTCACTTTTTTTTTTGGCAGGTAGTGTTTATTATTGTCTTGCACACTTTTTTCTTTTTATTTTTACATTCAGAATGCTTTAAAAATTCCATTTACAAGACAATTGTTTATAATAAAATAACAATTGAAAACAATGTTTTTGTTTGAGTTTGACCAATTCAGAAAAAAAAAAAAAAAAAAAAACCCATTAAGACATGCGGTCCGTCAACCTTAAACAATAATCTTTGTCAATTTCATTTTTCAGTCTTTATGATGGTTCGATACTTGATCTATCTTCATTGTTACATCCCCGGCAACGCCGACTCTACTGCATTATATATATATATATATATATATATATATATATATATATACACACACACACACACAAAATATTTGATTATATAAAAGAAATGACAAGAGGAAACCATTTTATGTTGACGTATTTTAGTCTTTGAGGAACTTTATCAAGGCAGATGTAGAAATTTAATTTAGGAACCTGTATTTATACAGACAGGAAAAAAGTAACATTGAGAAAAAATAACTTTATGCATTCAAATTTAAATTAGAGAATGCTCTAAAATATTTGAAAATCTCTTGGCATTAAGAGAAGAGAAAGTATAGAGGAGTCTAAGTGATGTATACACAGATTTTAAATCATGCATTTTTTATTTTTGATCGACACTGGCAAAATTTTTGAGAAAGCAATAGTTGACTAAATTATTCCTTTTCAATATTCTTAATTCCATTAAATGTATTTAATTGAAAAGAATTAAATAAATTGAAATTTTAACTTTACCTGAGGAAAGGAAGATTCCGAAGCAAGCAATACATTTTCAGGTTTCAAATCACAGTGAACGATATTCTTTAAATGAAGATGTCTTAAGGCCACTAATATCTGAAAATAAATAATAAGATTTAGAAATTTAATAGGAACAGCAGTTTTGTAGCATCATTTAGTTCAGGATGGGATGTTTCATCACCACTGACTCAACACCAACCAATTCATCTCCAGTACAACTCGGCAACAACCTACTCAGCGCTGACATTGAATCCATAGCTTCCGACCAGTGATGGCTGTCATAGTGTGCACAACTTTTACATTGGCTTTGAGTCGTAGAGATTTTGAAAGTTTTGCTGTTTGTCTTGGTGGTTTATTAGTTACAATGGCCTGTTTGGCTTAGTGGTATTTAATTTTCAAGATCAGACAAATAACCATACTGTAATAGTAAGTAAAAGACAGCATACGGAGCTGGGGATGGAGCAACCCATAATATGGAGATTCATGACGTAAATGCAAAAGGTGCTAAGGACCAAGATCCATTTTTTGAGCAATTAATTCATCTCTCTCTCCTTAAATCAAAGACGTCTATAAAGGCAGATGAAAGAATTTTGCAGATTGTTTCTTCTTTTTGTAACGATCTCTGATAGAATATTTGAGGGGAATTGCATACAATTTTCAATAAATTTTAAAATTAAAAATAAAGTCGTATTAAAAAACGTTCCTTAATAAATTACTTTTATCTATTTTTAAAAAGTCAATGAAAATATTTAAAAATTTACATGTTGAGTTGTCCTCATATTGACTAGGCTGGTGATGAGTTGTCATGGAGATGAGTTTGCTGGTCTTGAGTTGGTGGCATTGAGTCATCTTGTACTCCATTTACTTTCCTTACTGACAGCTTTTTTTTTTGTTTTTTAGCTCAAACATCACATTTGGCAAAGAATGATTTAATAGTGAACAAGATGTCTTTGTCACTTCTGTCAAGCCTAACAATGGATACAGTAGCTATTTTCTGAGCAGGTAAGTTAATCAACTGAGTTTGTTGCTTATGTACTATTTTGCATTTATTATTGTGACATTGAAGTGGTTTGGTTTATTTTGTTTTACGGCATATCAACATCAATGGGTTATTTAATGCCGACAACATTTTAAGATAGATTTGTATGAATAGAATATGTATTCTTTGGTTTAGATTGGTTTGGTTTATTTTGTTTTATGGCATATCAACCTCAACGGGTTATTTAATGCCAACAATATTTTTAGGATAGATTCGTATGAATAGAATATGTATTCTTTGGTTTAGATTGGTTTATTTTGTTTTACGGCATATCAACCTCAATGGGTTATTTAATGCCGACAACATTTTTTATTGCTGGTAATATTTTATTTCGTCAAAAATCTGTTTCTGGTAATATTCTTCTTTCAAAATTGTATTGCTAGTAATAATTTTTTTTCAAAAAAGTATTGTTGGTAATAGTTAACTATTTGCTCATAGCTGGAACCCTAGGAGGTGCTACCATGCTCCTCAAAACCTCCTGATCAGAGGCCTTGCTGCTGGATGTAGTTTATCGTCTTACCCAGAACACGGAATTAAAGTGGTAGGATAATGAAGGAGGAATTGGTCTCATGCTTTTCCCAAAAGACATTAACACTTTCACTGTTGTGGAAATATATACACAGGGTGTCCATAAAGTTCGTGTGCACTTTTAAAAATTTATAATTTAAAGTGCACACGAACTTTATGGCCACCCTATGTGTGTGTGTGTAGCAGAAGTACCTCCCACATAATGGTAAGACATTAATGGCAATGATATCCTCATCTAGGTAATTAATGTCTTACTATTATGCGGTAGGTATTTCTGCTACACTTTTTTTGAAAACAACTGTATTGAAAAGCTCAAAACTATTTGTACCTGACAACTGTAAAGTCTAAGTTGTACAACTGATGTAAGTAATATGTATAGTTAATTATATATATATATATATTTAAACTCGGTGGGTGAAAAAACCTGGATAGCACAATTTTCAAATAAATTGGCATCCAAGGAAAAATGGAAGAACAAGAAAGTACTAGAAACCTCCAAACAGGAGGCAAGGAATCGTCCAGTATCTTAAATTTCTGGTAGAAAGGAAAAAAACCCAGCGAGTAATAAGTTAAAATGAAGAGTGCTCAATAAACTAAGTAGAGCAAAAGTAAAATAATTAAATCTGAATAAGCCAGGTACTACTTGCCTAGGATCATCAGCCAGTTCACCCTGATGATCCCATGTGGCGAAACCTAGGTAGGTAGTACCTGGCTCATTAGGATTTATTATATATATATATATATATATATATATATATATATATCTTAATTCAAACAGGTTTCATTGAATAATATAGACATAGTATCTACTTATTTTTATGCTGATCATTTCCAGTTGTCTATTTAGTTTCTTGATGTTAAAATGAAATTCATCAAGGAAGGTGCTGTAGTTTTTTTTTTAACCCAAGTACTTTCAACTTTTTTCAAGATCATGTAATTTATCCCTGAAGATGATCTAAGAAAAGGTCAAAAGTATGTGGTTTAAAAAAAAAAATCAAAAACTATGGTGTTTTCTTTGATGAATTTCATACATATTCTATTCATACGAATCTATCCTAAAAATATTGTTGGCATTAAATAACCCGTTGAGGTTGATATGCCATAAAACAAAATAAACCAAACCAATCTAAACCAAAGAATACATATTCTATTCATACAAATCTATCTTAAAATGTTGTCGGCATTAAATAACCCATTGATGTTGATATGCCGTAAAACAAAATAAACCAAACCACTTCAGTGTCACAATAATAAATGCAAAATAGTACATACTTACAGGTCATTTCAAACTGAACACTTTATTTAATTTATGGCAGTAGATTGTTCTCATTTCACTGCCTAAATCTATGAAGGTTACTGAATAGAATAATCAAATGAAGGTTGGTAATGAATAATAATATTTAGGACAAGAACAACACATATAAGATTCACCAGTGGCACATAGAAAAAGTAGTAAACTGCTAGAAGTGAGTCAAGTGAATTCCACAATGAATCTCCAACTGCAGACCAACATACAGTATTTACTACTGTATTTATATGAATGGGGACATACACATTATTGTCTGTAGGTATGCTACAACACATAGTAATTGTGATTTCAATCCCTGGACCAGGCAGTATGCACTTGCACTCAGCAGAAATGGGATGAGTGATAAGTGAGAGTACTAAATAAGAACTAGACAAGATATCCCTAGACCAGGGCAGTGGAATGCAAACAATCTACTGCCATAGATTAAAGGTTATCTGGAACGATATACACCTGAAGGCTGAAGAGCACAACAGCCAAAACATTGTGATAACAACACAAAAGAGGATAATAATCCACATGTAAATAATACTTACTGTATATAATTTTGTAACACGCGATCTTGTGTACCGTGTGACCCCCAAATTTTCACCAATAAAAACATGATTTTATCATGTATCATACAAGTTCTTTTTTAAGAGCCCAGATTACAATAGACTAACCTCTTTTCATCTATCTCTTTATCCCATCTTCTAGTTGAATAAGTTAAAAAAAATAAAAAAGAATAGTAAAAGTATCATTAGTAACGCTATACCCGTTGTGTAAATGTGTACAGCCATAAACAACCAAACGCGAAACAACTAAACATATTAATGTAAACAATGGAAAAGATGCATATTTGCTATATTTGTATTTTATAATATGATATTAATATGCAAAGATTACATGCTTTATTATTGGATACAGTTAAGTAAAACAACAGTTTTATCAAAATCATGTTTATTTTAAATACAGCTGTATTTTTAACTACATTTTAAATGGATATATAGTTTTGTTCAATGCTGGAGCCAGTGCCATCAGTACATATGCTAATTTTATACCTTGTATATGATGCAACCCCCTTAAAATTAGCTCCAAAATTAGGTCTTCAAATGTTGCAGGATATGCGATTATATACAGTATATATTTTCACAAAACATATACTGCCTGATGTTGACGTGTATATATATATATATATATATATGTATGTGTGTGTGTGTGTGTATTTTTATTATCTGTTGGGTGTTGGTGTTGTTGTTTCACTTTGTCTGTACTGCAGATATCTTTGATTGAGTCATTTTCTATGGCTTATCAGCCCTTTGCTGGTTAGTTAAAGCCAAAAAATATTTTTTAGATTGTAAGAATTTTTTTTTTGTTTTTTTTTTTTTTGAGATAATAATTTAGTGATACCAGTTTTACTATTTTACCCATAGCTGGGTGAGAAGAGGTGGATTCATAGCTTTCTGAAGGGTATTTTTGCATCAATGAAGATAAACCCAACTTGAATTGGAACTCGGCTCTCCAATTAACAATTCCAAGTCATTATCCATTACACCACTTGCACATTCAAGCTTATAGCACCTGGTATTCCCAAGTGGTCACCCATCTAGGTACTGACTGATGTTGCTTAACTTCAGCATTTCAATGAGATATAGCTGTAAGCCTGTACTGCAGTGTATCTGATCAAAACCAAATTGGCAGCACCCATGAAAATTGCCATTAGTGTCTTTATAGTCATCTATTTCCACTAAATAGTGATTTAGTGTTTTTTTTTCTTCCCCAAAATAGGCCAGCACAGCCAGGCAATAATGTTATAACAATACAGCAGTGACAGGGTTAATATAAAAGTGATAGTAACTGCCCCAGTTAAAATTTGAACTGTTCCCATGTTTTCCTCTTTTGGGCTGATCAACACAAATCAACAATGCTATTATCTAAAAACAATAGAACTATTTTTCTCTCCTCTCATTTCCAAGGGCTAAAAATTCAATTCTTTTGCTGAGAAATTGCAATGAATAAAAAACAACAACAGTGTTTTATCATTTTTTATTGCACTAATGTAATCCATTTTCCTTTTTCTAGTTTCTACAGACATAAAATGCACCCAATTTAGCTGCAAGGGCAGAAAAAGAAATTTAAATTCAGAGTTGCTTGTTTCTGATTGGACAGTAATCATTTCTTTTTTTTTTGTTCAGTCATGTGGCTTAATGATGGCAACCATTTATGAGAAGTAGCTTACACAAA